TGTCTCGAGACAGGCCAGAGAGCAGCCACTGACAATTAGAGTCAAACTGCCCCATCCCCTGTGTCCTTGCTTATTTACAGGAAAACAAACATCAGAAGAAATGCTTGAAAGTTTTTTTAAGCCTTGTAGTTTAACGCTAACAACAATTCAACAGACTTCGACAACATTTTCACAATTCTTGGCACCTGCCCAATGCCCTGGAGATGTGGGGTCCCCTCATCTGTCTACAGGAGACAATGAGGTCAACAGTGAAGCCAGAGGTTTTCTTTTCATATATTCAGGACTTGGGGCCTAGTCACTTGCAACCAGAGGAGTCCTAATGGGTACCATCTTCTCTCACGCTACTTCCACCCTCATGGGAACATCCCATTTTCTTCCTGCTCACACTCTCTCCAGGATCTGCCACTTTTTGAACGCACCACACCTATCAAAGAAAGGAAAATCTTCATCCATTCTTTAGGCCAAATGTTTGCTTTGTCACAGGTCCCCGTGGAGAGGCCAGCGGACCCCACTCCTGGGATTCTGAGTCTTGGACAGGCACTAATGGATCATTTAAGGGATGGGAGTTGTCATTCATGACTGGAGACCCCACAACCTTGGACAACACAGATTTGCTTTTTTTTTTTTTTTTTTTTTTTTTTTTGGTACAGCTGCTGCGTAACTTTCTCTAGGGGCTTTGTTTCTTCCCAGACCTTAAAATGTCTGTAAAACACACTCCTCATCCCACCCCCACCTCTGCTCCTTGCTTTTTCGTTTGTGACTCTGAATTATGAATTTATCAAGGGGTGGGCAGAGCTGCCCTGTCTGCTGCCAGACCTGTGGGAAGATGAGCGGCAGAATCTTCAGTGCCTTGGCAGGAGGATCCAGAGAGAAAGCCATGCCAAAGCTCCATCTGCTCTGACTTCGCCACACTGAAATTTTAAGAGCCTTGATGTGACCTTCCCCGGTCTTAGAGGACAGCCATAGTTGAGGGGAAATTGGGGGACACTCATGGGTTTGAAAACACTTCCCATCACTGCTAGCCTGGAAGTACTGCATCTTTGCATATATCGTTAATATCTAAGCAAGTCACTAGAAAGAGAAAGAGAAGGAGGTCTGGACACTCGCTGCCTGTCATTCACAGGAAGCTGCTGATATGGTCCCCCGTGAAGTCACTTGGGTCAGACTGGCAGGAAGGAAGGAACTAAAAATGGCTGTCAATGGACCATTAAATGATGGTGCTAAATTGTCTCTTGTTTGGGAGAAATAAAGGAGCCTACATGCTAGGTATCCTAGGAAAAAATCCTGGGATAGAAAGAGAAAATTGGACCAAAAAAAAAAAAAAAGGAACAGGAGCTGGAGAGATGGCTCAGATATGAAGAACACTGGCTACTCTTGAACCTGGGTTCAAGTCCCAGTACCCACATGGCATCTCACAACCATCTACAACTCCAATTCCAGGGCATTCAATGGCCTCCATGAGCACCAGGCATGCTCATGGTACATATATCTGAATGTAGGCAAAACACTCATACTCAATAAATGGTGTGTGTGGATGGGTGTGTGTGTGTGTGTGTGTGTGTGTGTGTGTGTGTGTGTGTAAACACAAAAAAAAACATGAATAAAATATGGAGTGTGGCCACAGCAGTGTATCAATACTGGTTCATACTGACATACAGTAATAATGCAGTAATCCCCCTTCTCAGTGAAGGACATCCTCCAATACCCCCAGTGGGTGCCTGGAACCACAGAGTGTATTGAACCCACAAGTGCCATGTCTTTTCCTGAGTACATGCTCCTCTGAGCAAGTTTAACTTATAAATCCCCACAGTATAAGATTAAGAATAGCAACCAGTGCTCACAATACGAAACCCGTTTTCCCCCTGACTGAGCTGATCATTTTTTTCTTTTATATTTTCACTTAAAGGAAGCACACTACACAGATGGCATGTGTGAGTCACTTTTGGATTTGGGGGATTCTTATTAAGCAACATGAGTTACTTTAGCCCAGCCATAGGATAAACAAAATCACATTAATCTGATCCCCAAAATAGCTGCCAGATGATTAATGGGGAGGTAACATATACAGCCTGGTCACAGTGAACCTGGCCAAGTTCTGATTGGGATGAAGGAGCACAAGGTGGAATTCCATCACACAACCAAGGTGGTGCACTATTTAAAACTTACAAAGTTTGGGGTTTTTTTTCTGGAATGTTCTATCTAATACTTTCAGACTCTAGATAAGTGTACGCAAAACTGAAGAAAAGTCATGTGGATTGTATTATACAGAAACTTGCTGTATGACAGGGAGTTAAAAGACACCTGTCCCAGGGGTTATGAGTTTCCCAAGTGGCCTTAGGTAAGTTCCAACTCCTCCCTATCCCTGGATCTGTGACATGAGTGGGTCAACTTGATCACCTTACAGTAATAGGATGTTCATCAAAGTGTTCTTGGATGGTTTCTGCTGAGCTATTATCCCCTGCCCCAGAGAAAGCTGGCAACGTTTTCTTTCTGAAAATGACCATTAGATTTGGTTGGTTGGTTGGTTGGTTGGTTGGTTGGTTGGTTGGTTGGTTGGTTTTCTTGGTGCTGTAACAAAATATTTGATAAGAAACAAATTAAGGAAGCAAGGATTCGTATCAGCTTATAAGCCAAGGGTGTGGTCCATCACGGCAGGGGGCATGGCAGCAGGAGAGTGAGGCGGCTGGTCACATGGCGTCCACAGCCAGGAAGCAGAGAGAGATGAACGCTGGTGCTCAGCTCCCTTTCTCCTTTTAATTCAGTCCAGGATCCCAGCCTAGGGAATGGCGCTGCCCACATTCAAGGTGGGTCTTCTCTTCTAAACTGATCTAATCTAGAAACTCCCTCACAGAGATGCACAGGGGTATGTATCCTGGATGATTTGGTGTCCCCTAAAACTGACAAAGAAGATGAACCATTGTAACCATACAGCAAGTATTGCCATTTTAAAAAACAATATGCCTGTCATCCATGCCCAACTCTGCCCTTGTACTGTGGAAGCATCCGTTAAGGTTATGGGGCTGGGTCCCACTTCAGTTTCATTTACAAAACAAGAGGTGACCCCATATCTCATCTGCAGGTCATAATTTTCTGATCCTCTGCTCCAGACCCCTGGCTTACAGTACCAGCATTTAAAAACTGGTCATTTGGGGGCTGGAGAGATGGCTCAATAGTTAAGAACACTGGCTGCTCTTACAGAGGACCTGGGTTCAGTCCTCAGGACCCACATCTCACACCCTCTCTGGCCTCCTTTTGAGCACATATGGTGCACAGACAAAAATGCAGGCAGAAGCCCATTCACATAAAATAAAAACAAACATCTTTTCATGTGGTCAATAGTCTCTCTAAACATGATTTGATTTCTCCGGAGAGTATCCAATTAGCATCCAATTTCTAAAATTCTCAAACAGAAGTCTACTGTATGTACATTCATAGCTGAGCACCACATGTCCATCAGAAAGGGTTCAAGAGGATTTTTTTTTTTTTTTAGGTGTGGCGTAAGAAAAGTAACTGAAGGTTAGATGAGGAGATTTTTTTTCCTGTGGGTGAAATGGAAATAGAATTGGGATGCTGAGCATTCTAAAAATAGAATTCTGTCTCTTCACATGTCCTCCCTCTGTTACTCAAGGCAAAAAACAGCCAGATCTAAAGACTCTATTCTAGGATCAGTTGCACACGTCCCCAAGGGGACAAAAACCTGTAGTGTATGTCACTTCCTTTGAATGTGAGTTGAAATCTTCACAGGTATTATGATATGAACATCTGTAGATGACCGTATCCACTGCACTTACTGAGTTATACCTTTTTTTTTTACAATGTTCCTGTTAGACCCTTTTAGTGTCCTTATCATGTTTAATGTCCTTTTGTTAATAATTTTATGTTTATTTTAGGTTTTTAAGGTCCTGTGTATCAGCCCCTCTGCAGCTAATAATCTCTATACCACAGGCCTCTTTTATTTTTTTTTTTTATTTTTTTTTTATTTTTTATTTTTTTTTTGGTTTTTCGAGACAGGGTTTCTCTGCGTAGCTTTGCGCCTTTCCTGGAGCTCTCTTGGTAGCCCAGGCTGGCCTCGAACTCACAGAGATCCGCCTGGCTCTGCCTCCCGAGTGCTGGGATTAAAGGCGTGCGCCACCACCGCCCGGCTACACAGGCCTCTTTTAAAAAATATTTATGTGTATGAGCATTTGCGTGTATGTATGTACACTGCATGCATGCAGTATCCAGGGAAGCCAGAAGAGGGCGTCTGATCCCCTGAAACTGGAGTCGCAATAGCTGTGAGCTACCATGTGGGTACTAAGAATAAAACTTGGGTCCTCTAGAAGAGTAGCCAGTCCTCTTAACTGCTGGAGGTTCCATTGCATGGGCCAAGGTCTTGGGCTTTGTGAAAGGGGGAAATTGAGCTGAGTACCAGCTGCCTAAAGCCCCTGCCACCAGGGTTTCCACACCATGATGGTCTGAACACTCTGGGAGTCCAAGACCAACCCCCTTAACCTTGAAGTTGTTTTTGTCATGGTGTTTTATCACAGCAACATGGGAGTAAAGGACAAGATGGCCTCACAACTTGACTGTCATTCTGTTCAGTAAGTAAGTGGGGCACGGTGACAGCTAGGTGTCAAGACTCTTGACAGCCTTTATCATGAACAAAAGGAAGCTGTTTTCTGGAAAGCTCTGACAAAATCATTACAGTGAGATAGGGCATGATGATAGCTACTATGGTTTATCATGATGTAGTAGAAATGTATTGTAATGGCAGTTATGATTTAACATGGTGAAATCACAAGGTATTAGGATGTAATGTGATCCATCACAATGCACGAGAAATTTGTTACGGTGCACTGACTACTTAGAATGTACTAGAAATGAATTGTCCTGCAGAGGTCATGATAGATATGATCTAATCCTATACTACAACAGAATTTCTCTGTAATATAATAGGTCATAACAGATCTGATGGTTTTTTTTATGATGAAATGGAAATGCATGGTCATGTAACACTTCACAACAGGTGCCATGGTTTATTGTGATGCAATGGCTCCATCCTTATCACATAAAAAGGGAGGCGACTTCAAAATTATGCAGCAAACTATTTTCTCCACCTTCTAGAGAGATAATTTGGCGAAGCGTCCTTGACCTGCGGAGCTCAGTCTTCCTGTCGATTTCAGTCAGACGTGAGGTCGTCACACACACTCAGAGGCTGGTGGCTTCTTCTAACTCAGACACTGAACACATAGGACATTTCCAGACTGCCACTGTCTCCATGCTGGAGAATGTCAGGCAGGAGAATGCTGCCTGAGGGGGGCAATCACACAGTGATGTCACCAAAATCCTCCTCGTGACAAAAGTGAAAAGTTTTGTGTGCCTCGTGAGAAATATTTAGTGTCTGGCTTTGGTTCCAACCTGGGGGCAGAACACAGAAAGCTACCTAAGATTTCCCTGAGGCATTCAACGGGAGCACTAGATGTCTGCCTGTCTATTGGCCCAGCTTCCTACTGCATTCCCAGACAGGCAACCCTTCTGAGATCACACGGCAGAATTAACCCCACTCCCAGACAACATTTAATCCCAGACCAAAGCCTTAATGATTTTAACACTCCCCCCCAATACTAAACACAACCCCAAATCCCATAATTTGCCTTTGCTAACACTTTCATGTTGAGAAAGATTCACGAAGCCCCATGCCTGTGTTCTCTCCAGTTGCTGCAAGTCGATAAACTCCAATCTGTTCAATAACAAGATCAAAGACCGGCCGCGCTCTCCTGATCTCCAGGCTTTGTTCCTTGTGCTTAAATAAATCGGAAGCTCATTACCGGTTTTTATTTAGTTAGCTAGGCTGCAAATATTAAGTCATGTACATCTTTTCATTGTTTAACTGGACTCCGAGGAATCCTTGGGAAAGAACTTAGAGAACCTAGAAAGCCAGGCCACTCATTATTATCACTCATTATTGTCACAGTCACTCACAGAACAAGAGCAGCAAGTACTCGGAACAACTACATCCCACCATGGAATAAATAGAAACAGGAAGTCCAGAGATTGGTATCTGAAGCTTTTCAATATAGGGACATATGAAGAGTGCTTGCTGCTCTTATGGAGGACCAGAGTTCCCAGCACCCACCTCAGACTGGACCCAACCACCTGTAACTCCAGCTCCAGGGAATCTGGCGCCCTCTCGTGATTTCTGCAAGTACGCACACTCACATGCACTTAAACTCATGCATATAAGTGAAAAACAAAAATAAAATAAATATAGTAAGTTTGTGATAGGAGATGAATAAACACCCTGCCCCAACTTTTTCTCAGTGATCAAACGATAGGAATCATTGAGCCACACTGCCCTGTAGTCACCCACAAAGGACCACTGTGTCCGGTCTTGTTGAAGAAATGGGCTCCTCAGAAAATAAGTATCAGAATGGGGAAAAGCTCACCTTGATCTCCATCAACAAGCCCAGACACCACTATGCAGCCAGCTTCCTGGATCTTCCCACAGAGAACATTCCAGGTGGTCTAACAGTCACGTCATTTCTTTCCATTGAGATGGAAGTCTGTCCTTCAAAAGAAGAAATGAGAATACACCCTGAAACTGAATTGGAATTTTTAAAGCCAACTGAGGAAATCCTACACCAGTCTTGGTCCAGCTCACAGTCCCTGGCTGAGCCATTCCATTCTGGTCCCACAGTCTCCAGGTTCAAGGTGCCAGGGGTTTATTAGAGTGAAGGAGCAGGCTACATGGCTTATTTCTAATAAAATGAAAATTTCTGAGCCCCACACCTAGTCTCCGGGCATCAATTTCCAACTCAGAATTTAGCCCTAGGCTCAGAAGCTCTTATTTGTGACCAAAACTGAAACCAAGTAGATTTCATAATAATTATAATTTTTTGAAATAACTTAAATCTCTGGGGATGTCACATGATCAGCAGCTTCATTGCAGGAAACTCCAGGCTGGAGGTTTTTGCAAGGAAAGTCCTTCTTCCTGGGAGAGTTCAGAGGTCATTCCTCCAGTGAAAGATGAACCTCTCCTACAGGTGAATAAGGAACGGAGTTGACCACCATGAACAAGCGCCTGAGCAAACACATGCACACACAGGGACACACGTGTACACATACACACTTATTGTTCATTTTGGACTTTCAATGAAGACGAGTCTTCATGCCGACATGACTCTTTTGGGAGTGGGGGTGACAGGAGGCAGGTAGTCACACGTAGAGTTCATGCTTAAGGCAATCAGAACCAGCCAAGCCATTTCCCTCAGTGAGTCCCAGAAGTCGCGCCCCTCCGTCCGTGTGTCATACTCCCTGTGGTAACCCTTGCTGATGTCAAATGCATCTTCTTCTTTTTGAAAACAGGCTCTCCTTTGTAGCCTAAGTTGATCTGAAGCTAATGATTCTTCCACCTCAGCCTCCTCATTGCTGGGGTGACAGGGGTGCACCACCATGACTGACCTTCAGCGCCGTTAGTTTGTCATCGTCTGGTGCATCTATGTGTGTTGTACGCGGGCTTTATGTGTGCGCACCTTTGCATAGATGTGGGTACACACGGGCAGTGGTTTTGCACATGTCTGTGCTGGTAGAGGCCAAGGCTGCTGGGCCTCCCCTACCACTCCCCACCCTTCTTCACTAAAGCAAGGTTGAATCCAGGGCTCACTGATCCAACAAGTCCAGGCAGACAGTCTCCTCTGTAGATTCCCTGTCTCTCCTCTCAAGGATGGGGAAGAGCCACCGTAAAAAATGTGGTCAACATCATCCCACGGGCTGCAGTCCTAGACTGAGCAAAAAGAAGAAAGAGAGCTGAGCACCAGTGTTCATCTCTCTCTCTCTCTCTCTCTGCTTCCTGACTGAGGATACAATGCCCATCTTTTTTTGGTGAAGAATCTACTCAAATATCTTTCCCATTTAAAAATATTTCATTGCTTCTTTTGAGAATTTTGTACAATGTATTCTTATCATAATTATTCCTCAATTCTCCCTCGACTCCTCCCGGATCCATCTGCACCTCCCACCCCAACAACACGCACTGAATTTGTGTCCTCATTTCTCATATTTATAAATGCTGCCTGTACACTCCCGGGTGGGGAGCCATCCTCCAGAACGTGATAGGTCTACCAGAGCCACACCCTTAAAGAAAGCTAACTCCTTCCCCCAGAAGCCATCCACTGTCCACAACTCCTTGGGTAGGGGTGGGGACTCATGGACTCCTTTCCCACTCCATGCTGGAATGTTGGACTGGCTTGATTGTGTTCAGGCAGCCACTGTGTGTTCATAGGTATAGCTGTCCCATCACATCCAGATGACTCAGATCCCCTATGGGCATCCCTGACCTCTGGCTCTTACAGTCTTTCCACCCTGGCTTCCAAGATGGTCCCTGAACCTTGAGGGTATGTAGTGGGTAGATGTTCAGTCTATGATCTTGAAGCACCTAAAGATGCATCTAAAGATGCAGCAGTTAACTGCTCCACCTGACTATGACCTTGAAGTACATTCCCCTGGGGAGTGGCCTCTCCGATCCTTATGACCTGGGATGCACGTAGGTATCGCTTTCTTTGCTCCATCGTGGTACTTGGATATGGGACTGATCCAGGTGGCCAGAACAGCATTCCAGAACCTGTATCAATTCTGTTCTGTACGGTGAGTTTTTCCCTTTAATAAATCCTTTGCCCTTTAAACAGACTCCGTGGATTTCTGGTGACAAGGGTATGGCATAAATGGCCTATTTCAGCTTCCGTCTGGAAGGTCGAAGTGTGAGACCATCTAGTCTGGCCCAGAGCCTGGGAATGTCGGTCTCACCTCCTTCTGCTGAAACTGTATATGGGCTAGAGGTTTTGAAGATAGCTGTAGAAAGTCTAAAGTGCGCGTCCTCAGCTCTCATCCAGTTGACGTGTTTTGCAAACAACCAGACCTCTTCACACCAGGGGACTTAGTGCTGAGTTATTTGGAGGTGATACACTGGAACCCCTGCTCATGTATAGCAGTGTTAGCTATACAGCAGCATGGGTGAGTAGGTGCCCACCGGTATCCTCACTGCACACAGTCCCACTCACCCACCTAGCTGACTCTGTCTGAGGATGCAGGAGAACGCCCATCACCTGAGCGGCTTCAAGACCTACATGCTTCGTTCTCTCTTGCAGCTGACCTCATGCAGGGAGGGAGAAACAATAAGTCAACATCCAAGGAGCACATGGGAGGTCTTCAGATAGGTGTGCATGCTATGGAAGGAGTCAGAAAGTGACAGGAAGGGCAGCCTGGTGGTGTAGGTCTACTCATTATGCCCACGTGGGAGGCTGAGGCAGGAGGATTGCATGTTTTAGGCCTGACTGAGCCACAGAGAGAATCCAAAGCCAGCTGGGGTGACTCAATGAGACTCTGCCTCAAATAAAAATGTAAGCAGAGGGGCTGGAGAGATGGCTCAATGGTTAAGAGCACTGGCTGTTCTTCCAGAGGTCCTGAGTTCAATTCCCAGCAACCACATGATGGTTTACAACCATCTCTAATAATATCTGGCGCCCTCTTCTGGCCTGCAGGCACACATGCAGGCAGAACACTGTATACATAATAAATAAATCTTTTTAAAAAATGTAAGCAGAGGGCTGGGGATAGTAGACTGCTCAGCTAGTATGGACAAGGCTGGGGTTCAATCAACTCCCACAATCATGTGGGGAAAAAAGACCACTCTGGCCACTCGAGAATGGAAGGCTGTGTAGAGGGAGTCAGCCTGATGCCAAGACAAAACCACCAGGCAGATATCTGAGGAAAGAGGGGGCCCAGATCCAGGCAATAACAGCAGGTGCAAAGGTCCTGTGGTAGGGGAGACAGAAAGGGGCCAGAGTGGCAGACTAAGTCCTGAGGAAAGCTCAGTGACTGAGCACTGGAGAGCCTGCTTGAAGCAAGAGTGATTCGGCAGAGAAAGTACAGCCAGTGTCAAAGCCAAAACAGCGTTTCCCCACAGAGGCTGTTGGATGGGGTAAAGCCGTCTCGTTGCTAGGAAACACCAGACCACCATCCACAAGGACACAGAAGGCCCGTGCACGGAGCCACCTCAACATCCATGACTGGCCATGGCACTATCAACACTGTGATAGACACAGAGTGGGCAAGGACCGAACTGCTCATCTCTGTGCCGGTAGACAACAAAGAGGAGGGTGCCCGACCCCTTAGCCTTTTCGGACCTTTACCACATCACTGGGATGTGATTTTTCTAAATGTCACCAGTGTCCCCAAAAGCCTCCCAGAGCTTGGAGAGACCCTCCCTCATTTGTTTATTGCCCTTTCGGTTAAAATCCTTGGGGCCTAAGGAAAACATAATAATGATGGTTTATGGGTGACCTTTAGCTGGCACTGGGCTTTTTCTCCTTTTGAGATGTCACGGTCCTGGCGGAGAGCTGCTTTCTCCGCCCCTAATCTGAGGAAAGATAAGAGAAAGAAGGTGATGTAGGAAGAACCTGAAAGACCCGGTCTTAAGTTTTCACCCACAAATGTCTTGTCTCCCTGAGCCCTGGGTTCTTCCTATCCCTCTGGGAATACAGAATGAAATTATGTCCACAGGAAAGGGAGGTCCAAACAACATCACAGACGTGCTTGTGTGGAACTGGCTCCACACATGGTCTTCCCAGTGTAGAGACATTACAGGGAGGGCGTCCCTGTGCAAGTCGGAAAACCGCGGATGCTCTACTCCGAACCTGCCAGGGTCTCTCATCTACTCAGAGCGAAAGCAGCCACACTCCTTCCAAAAGCTCCTCAAGGCTTAGATCTTCCGTCCCCTCCCCAGCCTGACTTCCCTGGCTTCCCTCCTCCTCCTGCCCCAGGATGAGCCTGAAACATCTCCAGCAAGAACCAACTATCACATTTGCCCTTGTTGTGTGTGAGACGCTTCCTGGTGAACCAGGACACAACACACCTATCACATAAGTTAAGGAACCAGCCCACCACAGACCAAAGCATTGATTCTACCCAAGTCCAACTTGTGTGTGTGTGTGTGTGTGTGTGTGTGTGTGTATGCAGTACCTTCAGAGGCCAGAAGAGGGCAGCAGATTTCCCCTGGAGCTGGAGTTAGAGGCAATTAGGAGGCACCACGTGGGTGCTGGGAACCGAACCCAAGTCCTCTGCATGATTAGTAAATACTCTTAACTACTGAGCCATCTCTCCGGCCCCTCAGTGAGTTTTACTTACTTACTTATGACATCATGGGTAAGCGGTTACTTATAGGAGCAGAGATGGTTCAAAGACAGATGCATTGTCCAAACTCCAACATGGGTGATGGCTCATGAAAGCTTCACCCCCCCGAACTCTCCACTGGACTTGCAGGCAGATGCACAGGTCAGAGTCTCCCCTCAACATCTCAGCTGAAAGAGTCTCTCCCCCCAGCAGGCATTGGTTGCTTCCATAACCTTGGAGAGGAACCCCGGTGAATCCGGCATGTTTTTGAAGTTTGTATACCTCCCCACCCTGAGTATCTTGAGTGCTACCCCCACCTTGTTCCTAGAGGGGGGGTGCTTCTAACGAGAGAAAACTACTGGGTACAGCTCTTGGTATCTCCTGTGAGGGCTACCAGCTCCATCTCTTAATACTGTCCTGTCTCTAAACAGGATGTCAAGCACAGCCTGGGTTTTTCTACACACACCCCACCCCCCACAAATTGCTCTTCTCCTCCATTTTATAAATTACCAGTGACTGAGTCATACTTAATCCCTGTATCTATTTCCTGTCCCCTCCATAATGGAATCTTTCTGGGGGACAAGGACGTCTAATGTTCTCCAAGGAACTAGGCCAGCTTCTGTCACTTGGGAAAGATCTGCTGACGGTTCGGGGACAGTTTGAATGGAATGGATGACGCACGCAGTGGTGTGAATGGAGAAGAGCAAAGCCACTTCAAGGCACCCCCCCCAAGGGTGTGTGATGTGAGGGCAGCCCAAGGGCAGCCACTTTGTGATGGTTACATTATCTTTTTAATGAGATAATTAATTAATTCACCAGTGCTCATTAACCTTGGTGCCCAGCCCTGGCTTGAGCGATGCTTGTGTGGAAGAAGAGGGCAGGAACAAAAAACACGCAAAGCCAATTGAAGCCAAGGTCAGTCTCGGAAGAGCTCTCACCCTGCTTACACGCTTGCACACGCCCGTGAGGAAGGAGAACACATTAAGACGGTCAATGAGAGGTGGGGGCAGGGACAGCTCTATAGACCTCACGTAGCATCTGTGTGTGCAGGCGTACATACACATATGCGTGGAGGCCAGTGGACGTCCTTAGGTGTTGTTCCTTGGTTTGTTATGTTTTGTTTTTATTTTTGAGACAAGTTCTTTCCTTGGCCTGGAATCTGCCTACTAGGCTAGACCTCAGGAGGCAGAAGCAGGCAAATCTCTGAGTTTGAGGCCAGCCTGGTCTACAGAGCAAGCTCTAGGACAGCCAGGGCTACACAGAGAAATCCTGTCTCAAAAAAAAAAAAAAAAAAACAAAAAAAAAACACTACCCCACAACCAGTTTTTTACCCCATACTTCGGGAAGTGGGAAATCAGACTTAGGTCCTGCACGTACAAGACAAGCCCTTCATTGGCTGAGCTATCCCCTCAGCCCTCAGAGAATTGTTTTTAATTGGCATTAGACATCATCAGGGACACCTTCAAGCACTAAGATTTGTTGCCCAGAACTCAAAAAAAAATCAGAAAATAATATCGATCAAAAGTAACAAAAGACTTCTAGGACAAAGCCAGAGGACATCACACACCGGCGCCCACCTCTCTTTAAAAAGCTGCACAGACGGGGCCTGGTTCTCCCAACAGTGCCAGTGACCACACATGGGGAGGATGCCCAGCAAGGAGCCTCACCCGAGCCATGGTGATGGGAGTTCTTATTAAGGTCAGCCACATCAGCACATACACCGTTGAGTCTCCCCAGCTCTTCCGAATGCCCGACTGATGCCCCGAGACACTGACCATCTCGTATGATTCAAGGCTGACTGAAGACTGAGCCTCGCTTTGAAATATGTGGCATTTGGACAGCTCAGACTTGCTGAGGTAATCCTTCACGGTACAAAAATACATGGTCATGATTTAAATTTAAAAAAAGAAACTGAGACAGTTTGCATAAAGGCATGCACATTTCAGAACCGGCGAGATGGCTTGGTCAGGACGGGGATTGCTACACAAGCATCTGAGTTCAGAGTCCCAGAAGCCACAGCAAAAGTAAGGCACAGCCGTGTGCACCCCATAACCCCGACACTGAGACAGGAGGGTCCCTGGTGCTCACTGGTCAGCCAGGCTCCCTGCATCACCTCAAAAAACAAGGTAAACAATGACTGAGGAAGACACTCAGCCCGAACATCTGGCCTATACACATGTGCATGGGCACACATCCACAAACACATGCGCACATACACGGTTAAAGACAATGAATTAAAACTCAAAGACTTCCTGCTGAGTCGTCTATCAAAGGAGCTGGGACAAAGAAGGACAGCATGTGGATGGCAGACAGCAGGGCTTCCTGTCTGAGGTAGAAGATGAGTGAGCATGGCTCTGTCTTGAGAGGTGGAGAGGACCCAAATTCCAGACATCCTTTAGGTACGGCACATCTGACATAGCCAGTTACAAAGCTAGCTTGCAACTCAGATACCTTCACAAAAGACTGGGAATTTTATTGTTCAAATACCCTCATTTCTAAGTTGCCCGCTGTCCGTGAATGAGAATTTCAAATCGGCTTAACAGCACGCTATACATGTTCATTGATTCCAGGGCCATATTGAGCCAAATTCCCTACTTAATTGGGCTCTAATATTATGAATCCACTTTTAAAGATTACTGAGTTGGCCTTGGTCACATAAGAAGATTACAGAGACGACACTCGGAGTAATGTTGCAACCCAGGGGCCAGGATGGGTATTACACAGTTGTCGCCTACGTGAGAATCCGCTCCATCCCTCTGAGTTCAGCAGCTCAGTTTTAGGATCAGGTCAGCCAAGGCTGCTGGGTTTAATGAGAAGGAAAGAGTGTGTGAGAGTCTGGAGGAGGTAATGGACTAGAGGGCTGTCTCAGGACTCACAGACTGACGAGTACCCAGCTCGGGATGTGGATGTGTCTGCCACGCTTTGGATCTGGACCATGTGAAACATGGTCCTCTTCATCAGGTCTGCAGTGTCTGCTTGCAAGTGGCCACCATATTAGGGCTTGTTGGTTACTGATGTCACTCTAACAGAAGGAGGTGATTGGGGAGGCTTACTAGACCCTCGCCCAAGATTCCAGCTGTGCCTCTCAGCCATCCGTGTGCAGTTCTGCCCTGGCTGCAGGTGCTCTGGGGCCTCAGGACTGTGCATGTATATAGGCTGGGGACAGGTGATTGAGCAGGCTCTGTCTGTATTGCTACCACACGGCATGCAGATCTCCTAGTGTAGACATGTTGGGATCCCTGTCCCCATACTCTGCAAACAAGCCCCATAAGCTCACTGGTTCCCCAGGGTGGATTTTGATAGAGGCATATTTATGTTTGCCCGTGAGACATAATGAGAAGTACATGATATTGTTTAAGCCTCCTCAGGGAAGGAATTCCTACTGCAGTCCCCCAAAAGCATGTGTGTTAAAGGGGTGGTCCTCAGTTTGGCATCACGGGAAGCTGTGGCCTAGAGGGAGGTGTCAGGCCATCGTGAGTGTATCTCTTAAGAACAGTGGTTCTCAATCTTCCTAATGCTCTGACCCTTTAATACAGTTCCTCAGGTTGTGGTGACCACCCCCAACCATAAAATCATTTTTGTTGCTACTTCATGACTGTAATGTTGCTACTGTTATGAATTGTAATGTCAATATTTTTTTGAGTTAGAGGTGTGCCAAAGGGGTTGTGACCCACAGGTTAAGGACCACTGCTTAAGAGGGTCACAGGCAATTTCTTCCCCTCTCATCTTTTCTTTCTTGCTACCGTGAGGTGAGCAGCCCCCTCCGCTATAGACTCCTGCCACAGTGGGCCTCACTACAAGCCTGAAAGCAACCAGACTAAAACCTGGGGGCCACAAATCAAAAACAAACCTTTCCTGTGTTACCTAGACTCTCTCCGGCATTTTGTGATAGTAACAGAAGGCTAGCACATGAAGTGTCCTTACCTATTAAAATCTGAGCAAGTCGGAGAGATGGGTCAGCAGTTAAGAATACTGGGGCTGGAGAGACGGCTCAGAGGTTAAGAGCACTGGCTGTTCTTCCAAAGGTCCTGAGTTCAATTCCCAGCAACCACATGATGGCTTATAACCATCTGTAATCTGGTGCCTTCTTCTGGCCTGCAGGGATGCAGACAGAACACTGTATGCATAATAAATAAATAAATAAATATTAAAAAAATACTGACTGCTCTTGCAGAGGGCAGGGGATCCACTCCCAGAACCCACATGATGCCTCACAACAGTTTGTAACTCCACTCCCAGAGGATTTGGCACCCTCTTCTGGCCTCCACGGGCACTGCACACACATGGTACACAGACAAAACACCCATACACATAAAAGGAAAACCAACAAATCTTTTTCAAACATCTAAGAAGGCTAACAAAACACGCGGTGTTTTACATTCTGACATTTAACAAATGAATATTTTTAAATGTACACTCCTAAATGTACCAATAGTGTTCTGAGACTGACAACAACCCTGAGTTCTTACGTGTTCCGTAGTAAAATGTCACCTCTCCCATCTTCCTTCCCCACTTCCCACTCTGGACACTTAAGTTACACATCAAGAAGATGTGTGTTATTTCCAACAAATACATCTCATTTAAAAATTGATCATTGGTAAAACCAGGCATGATGGTGCACACCTTTCAACCCAGCAGCACTCTGGAGGCAGAGGCTGGTGGATCACTGTGAGTTGGAGGCCTACCCTGGTCTACAGAACAAGTTCCAGGCCAGCCAGGACTACATAGTGAAACCCTGTCTCAAAACTAACAATATAAGTACTGGATAAAGAAGTAAGTTGAAAACGCTTTTTGAATCCCTAACCTGAATAAAATGAATCATCATTAAATTAAAACCACAGCATCTGTACCTAGAGGGTGGAGGCTGTAGACGCCACAGAGCAGAGCATGTTGTTTGTCTCATTAAACACCTGCCCACGACTGATTCAGGAGTAACGGCAAACACAGTTTGGTCCCACTCTTCATGATAACCCGCCGGGCAGGATGGTAATAAACTGTCACGTTATCTCTCTTTCCCTTATGCCATCGTCTTGGTGGGAGGGGGGCACCCCACACCAATAAACAACGAACTGCTAATACTAACAGCTGATGTGAGGTGTGTGGCTGCTTCAGAGCAATATAAAGTACTTTTCAGATTTTGCCCAAGGCCTGTGGAAAGGATCAAACTCAACAGTGACAGGGAGGGAATTATCCTTTCCATTTCCAAATACAAAGCTATAGTTCCACAGGGTTCTTCCGAATGACAGCTGAAATGTTGATCGTTGCTGTTCTCTTGACCGTGAGGTGACCAGGCAGAAAATCCACTGTCACGTTCCTGTGCAATGCACAAATGCAAGAGAGGGTCTCCCACCTCCAGATGCAGGGCTCTGGGAGTCAGTTCCTGGGTAGAGCCACCATGTGACACCTGAGAAGCTTCCCATGATGCTCCTTGGGTGCCAGACTGCTTTACTTCCTCTCTGAAGAGCTTCTTGGGGCTGTGAACTGGGTTACCTAGGAAGGCGAAGTAGCATCCCTTTCCAAAGAAGAGAGTGGACACCATGTGGACCTTCGAAATGATTCCCCCACATGTTAAAGAGCATCCACTCGGGGATGGAAAGGTGACTTGGCTGATGAAGTGCTTGTTTTGACAACATGAATATTCAAGTTCAATCCACATGATGCACATACACTCAGCCAAGGTGTGCAGATGCATGACCGTGCTGGGAAGTGGAGACAGATAGAGACCTGGGGTTCCTGGACAGCCTCACCTAGCTGATGATTCTGAGCCAGTGAGAGATCTGGTCTCAAAAGAAACAAAATGGTAGATAGCACCTGAAGCATGACACCTGAGGCTGTCCTCAAGTCTCCATATTCATGCACATGCACACATGTGCACGCACAAGCACGCTCACACACATACACACACACACACACACACACACACACACAACAGAGAGAGTATCCATTCATAGTTTTTTTAATTACATTTTTTGGGGTTTTTGTTTGTTTGTTTGTTTGTTGAGACAAGGTTTCTCTGTGTAGTTTTGGTGCCTGCCCTGGCTCTTGCTCTGTAGACCAGGCTGGCCTTGAACTCACAGAGATCCAACTGGCTCTACCTCCTGAGCTCTGGGATTAAAGGCATGCACCACCACCTCCTGTCTCTTTGAATTACATTTTAAAATATTTATTTGTGCCAGGTGGTGGTTGCACACACATACCATAGTGGTCATGTGGAAATCATAGGTCATCTACAAAAGTCAGTTCCCCTCTCACCATGTGAGTCCTGAGGCTCAAACTTAGGCCATCGGTCTTAGCAGCAAGGACCTTTACACCCCGAGCCATTTCATCTGAACCTATTCAACATATCTTAACTTCAAGTTCTCTCTTCTGGTCCCAAGATGACACCACAGAACAGAGAATGTTCTTTGGATACAATGCTCAGTCATTTAGCAGCTTGGCAGAGCGTGGCCAGGCTCACCCCTCACACTGGTGAGCATCCTCTGGGAACCTTGAAAAGGAACTCAAAAGGACAGCCTTAGCACCTGTCCCCAAAGTACCCTTCTGTTGCCTGAAAGCTACAGGCAAGTAACAGCGGGTCCCCCTGGGTTCTTTGTTGGTGGTATCAAAGGCATCTCTCTTCAAACGTCATCGATTATTCTGCCCACCTCCTCTGCCAGATGAATTGGAAAGAAAGGTAACAACTCCTGATGCTTCTCCAGTTTCCCTGGAGGTCTGAGACTCTGACGGGTGCTCATGTGCCTTTCCCAGGAAGGTTCAAACCCATGCTCACACCTGGG